TATTTATAATGGTTATATCCTCTTGTTGGACTGACCCTTTTAACATTATGTAATGTCCTTGTTTGTCTCTTGTTACTTTGTTTTGAAGTCTATTTTGTCTGATACAAGTACTGCAACTCCTGCTTATTTCTCACTATTAGTTGCATGAAATATTGGCATGGCAGGCTTTAGATTTGTGGTTACCAAAGGTTCAAGGGTAATTCCCTTATTATCTAACAGTCTAATTTAAGTCTCTTTGATGCTATTACAAACACAACATAAAGGTTCTTTTTTTTTTTCACCCCTGCTTTTTTTTCTTCCTCCATTCTTTGTATATTATGAATCATATTCTGTACTCTTTGTCTGTGCCTTGGGTGATATCTATTTAGTTTTAGGAATACTTTCATCCATATGAGTCTCCCCAAAATCTACTGTAGAGGTTATTTTGGGTGGTAAATTCTCTCAGCTTTTGCTTATCTGAAAATTGTTTAATCCCTCCTTCAAATTTAAGTGATAACCTTGCTGGGTAGAGTATTCTTGGTTCAAGGCCCTTCTGTTTCATTGCATTAAATATATCATCCCTCTCCCTTCTGACCTGTAAGGTTTCTGTTGAGAAGTCTGATGGCAGCCTGATGGGTTTTCTTTTGTATGTGATCTTTTTTCTCTCTCTAGCTGCTATTAAAAGTCTGCCTTTATCCTTGATATTTGCCATTTTAATTATTATATGTCTTGATGTGGTCTTCTTTGGGTCCCTTGTCTTGCGAGATCTGTCCACCTCCATGGCTTGAGAGACTATCTCCTTCCCCAGATTGGGGAAGTTTTCAACAATTACCAACTCAATGACACTTTCTATCCATTTTTCTCTCTCTTCTTCTGGTACCCCTATAATGCAAATATTGTTCTGTTTGGATTTATCACACAGTTCTCTCAATATTCTTTCATTCTTAGAGATTCTTTTTTCTCTCTGTGCCGCAGCTTCTTTGTATTCCTCTTCTCTAATTTCTATTCCATTTACCATCTCTTCTACTATATCTAATCTGCTTTTAAATCCCTCCATTGTATGTTTCATTTCAGATATGAAATTTCTTAATAATTGAATCTCCTACTTAAATTCATTCTTGAGTTCTTGAATATTTTTCTGTACCTCCATAAGCATGTTCATCATTTTTATTTTGAACTCTCAGGAATGTTGGTGAGTTCAGTTTCCTTTGGCCCTTTTCTGGGGTTTGTGAGATTTTGGTCTGAACCATGTTCTTTTGGCATTTCATATTTCTGTGTGGTGCCCACTCGTGCCCAGAAGCTCCAGTCTTTGGAGCTGATCAGCCCCTAGAGTGAGGTTGCAGGTCATAGGGGAGCAGTGCTGGTGCCTTGGGGGAGGAAGTATCTGTTTCCTGATTCCCAGCTGCAGTGCCTGTCTCCAGTGTCAGAGCCAGTGGGCTGAGTACACAGATGTAAGCCTCTATGTTTTGCATCTCTAGCTGTTGTAGGTGGGGCCTCCCTCTAGCTGGCCTGATGCCAGCACAGTGACTGCCAGTTTGAGAACTGGTACCCACAGCCAAGGAGGAAGGCACAGCAGGCTGCACATCACAATGGGGGGCCTCAGAGCTGGGTAGGCAGCCAGGGGGAAGGAGTGCCTGAAGCTCCTCAAAGTTCCCAACCAGCTGGACAAAGCATGCCCAGACAATCTTGTCCAGCTCTTCCCTCTCCTGTGCAGCAGGCTCTGTGCAAACCCCACCCCTTCAGCCACCCTCTCACTGCTAGGAAGCCTCTCAGACTGCCTCCCTTTCCTCTGTCACAGAGCAACCAGGTGTGGATCCCCTCCTGCGCAAACAGCCAGAATCCCAATCTCTCTAGTACTCTGCGTATCCCAGCTCCCCAATCCTCCAGAGCACCACACAATGTAGGTTTCTGCTCACAAGACAGATCTTCAGGGCTAGGTGTTCAGCAGTCCCTGGCTTCCACCCACTCCCCACTCCCTTTCTCTTCTTCCTGCCAGTGAGCTCGGGTGGGGGAAGGGCTTGGGTCCTGCCGGATTAAGGCTTTTGTATGTTACCCTGTTTAATGAAGTCTGCTCTGTGAGATCTGTATGCAGTCTGGTGCAGTCTTCTTTCTTGTTGCTCTTTTAGGGTTAGTTGTATTAATTAACTATATCTATATTTTCATACTATTTGTGATTTGGGAGGAGTTCTCCATCTCACCTCTCATGCCACCGTCTTCTACTTCCTTCTCCTCTTTTAGTATCTTTTGTAACTTTTAATACCTTCCATTTCTGTTCTCATGGTTATGTCTTCCTTTAAGTCTTTGAGCATATTGAGCACATTACGACAGCTTCTTTAACATCCTTATCTGCAAATTATATCATCTCTGTCATTTATGGATCTGTTTCTATTGATTTTTTTTTTCTCCTGGTGATAGGTTGCATTTTTCTGTTTCTTAGCATAGTAATTTTTTTTATCAGATGCTGGACATTGTGAATTTTATATTGCTGACTGCCTAATTTTGTCAAATTTCTTTAGAGCATCGGGCTTTGTTGTGACAGGTCATTACATTATTTGCAGATCAGTTTGGTCCTTTAAAGGTTTGTTTTGAAAAAGGTCAATTTGTAGGGTGTATCTAGAGTAGCATTTACTCTGGAGCTAGTTCAGCTCTATTGAAGGGTGGCCCCCTGGGTTTTCTCCTGAGTGTTTCTTGTTTTCAATAAGGCTCTTCACTCCAGGTCACAGGAATACAAACGATTCTCAGGCTCTGGGAAAGATTAGGCTTATAGTTCCCACCAATTGCTACTTTACTGGAAGCTGTTTCTTATCTGGTCTCATGTAGCTTTACTCTCTACATGTGGAAACTGATATTTAGACAAAGACTCAAGAGGAATTTGGAAACCACTTTTAAGTTAGACTGTTTTGTGCCAAGGTGTGAACTTCTGACATCCGTGCATCTATACCTGAATTGCTCATGGTTATCACACTATTTGGGAAGTTATGGTCTCATACTTTGTATTTTTTAAATTGATTTTTATATACTTCCTGATATAAAGTTGCACATGTTGTTATTACTGTGGCATATAAGCCTTATGCCTAGATTAACGCTTGAAAAAAGTAAATCTATATAGCTCTTGCTCTCATTAAAGTGAAGGTACAGCAGGTCAATTTCAGATAATTCAAAGTGTAAAAACTTTGACACCACAAGTTTTGGAGTTTCTTTTGTGCCTTTTATATTTCCCATATGAAACATGTGCAATCATTAGATATTACTTGTAAGCAAATTGTAAAGCAAAATAATTCCTATTATTTCTTATACCATCTGATCAACTTAATTAAAATGTATTCTGAGATTACAAGGCTTATTTTTGCAAAAGGTTTCCATTTGTCACCACTTACATGTGAATGAGGATTTTTCCAATTCCTGTCCAACCAAAATAAATTATTGAAATAAATTGTATATTATTAATAATTTAAAATAGGAACTGTCATTCAATTCTCTGATTTAAAATTTTATTTTTTTAAGGAAGACATAGTTCTCATGATCAGTTGGTTCTGTAACAAATAAATATAATTTGCATATTCAGTATTTTACTGATAAATTTTTCTAAATCTGTATCATCAAAGTTCTAAGTAAGATTTCATTTAATGAAAAGGTATCACTTCTGAGAAAAAAAAGAAAATATGGAAACTTAATTTGCTTTCTTAGATAAAAAACTCTACTTCTGACTGGTTTCAAAGATAATTCTAGGGAAAACTAAATAGGAAAAGAAAAGATGTTTGTATTTAACAATTTGAATAATCACAATGTAATTCTATGGATCTATTCTTAATTATTATGAAAATCTCATTTGAAATTAGAAGAAAAACATAATTGATGGTACCAAGTCACCAAAAGCTATTATGTTGATGTCATGTAAATGTATTCAGACAATGAAGATAGATATAATTCCATGTACATATATTATAAAATGGAAAAGAAATACAGATTACACATCAAAATCAATGTATCTTCATATGAGGTCTAAGAAATATTAGATGATCAGAGTTTCCATGGATTACTAAAATTATTACAAAATATTGTATATATGGATACTTTTTCTACAGAAAGGCACATGGAATTCATCAGATACTCAAAGAAATCTGTACCCCAGAATGTTAGGTGTCATCCTCTTTTTAACATTAAAGAGATTACTTTTAAATAGCTGTCAAGATTGGGCATACCTATGACTCAATCATTTCCATACATAGTAATTTATCCAAAGGCAATCATTTGATATATGTGGGAAGATCTTTAAAAATAATAATCGTTAACATTTATTGACAGTTTGTGCCAGAACCAAGCTGGGCATTTGCAAGCTTTATCTCATGTGTTCTTCACTGAATTGTCTTAGATAGTTTCTACTGCTGTCATATCACTTTACAGACTGAGAAAATGAAGCTTTTGGAGTTTATAAAACTCACTCAAGAGCACCTAGTTAGTTAGTGTGTATCATCATGAAGATTTGAAGCCCAGAAATCTGACTTCATATGTGGATTCTAAGCAATTACATGATGCTCAAAAATGACATTCATCAGATTATTTTACATAATGCAGAAAAGTGCTAAATTATGTACAGTCCCAAAATAAAATACTATACAGCCATTAAATTTATGATGTAGGAAACTGTTTATTGACAGCAGAAATGTTCTAGATGGAAGGCTGTGTGAGAAAACAAGTACTATATGTTTTGTTGTTAAACACTCACTAATGTGTCCATGGAAAAGTAGAAAAAAAAAACCAAATATGTGGAATAACTGTTATCCAGTGATTATCTCTGGGTAAAATGATTGTGTTTAATTTTCTTTGTATTTTACTGTGAGTTCCATGTTTTCTCAACTGAGCATATATTTCTTTTTAAATATAAAAAACTTCTAGGGGCAGAGCCAAGATGGTGGCATGAGTAGAGCAGCAGAAATCTCCTTCCAAAACCACATATATCTATGAAAATATAACAAAGACAACTCTTCCTAAAATAGAGACCAGAGGACACAGGACAACATCCAGACCACATCCACACCTGCGAGAACCCAGCGCCTTGCAAAGGGGGTAAGATACAATCCCTGACCTGGCAGGAACTGAGTGCCCCTCCCCCTGGCTCCTGGTGGGAGGAGAGGAGTCAGCAGGGAGGGAGAAAGAGCCCAGGACTGCTGAACACCCAGCCCCAACCATCCAGAAGAGAGCACAGACACAGTGCATGCGTGGGGTCCTGGATACTAGGGAAAGAGGGCGGCAAGACCAGTGAGTGGGTGTCTGAGGCTGACACCGGAGAACAAAGAAACGGGAGTGGGTTTATATATATATATATATTTTTTGGAGAGTGCATTTTGGAAGTCTAAAAGGGACAGGGACCCCAATACTAGGGTAACAGGGCAGCAAGACTGGTGAGCGGGTGCTTGAGACAGGCACCTGAGGACAAAGAAAATCGTGCATTTGTCTTTTTTTTTTTTTAATTATTTATTTAAGTTTTTTTTTTTTTTT